TAGGGTTTTAGGGTTTAGGGTTGCCCAAAGTCTCCATTGTACTGCCGCTTTTGGGTTAGCTTCTAAAAACATACCTGGTTCAATCTAGAATTTGTAGACCAAACGAAGAACTACAATGGAGACTACAGGTAGGTGGCTCTCGCAAGGCCACAAGTTTAGTTTACACTTCCATGTGCGACCCAAGTCTTTCGAGCTCGAACCCACGTCTGTGAAGTATTCGTTGGAGTCGCAGGTAAGTCAAGTGTAAAGACTTGCAAGTAACCGATTTAGAGATATCCAGCTTCTGCTGTAGAACATTAGTGCCTGCAAACTTATTGACTAAGTGTCCGATGGCAGCTGTGCCACATACAGCACTCGACGAGACCATGGCGGCGACGAGTGAGAGCTCGGACTCTTTGCGTTTGCGCGTCAGCAAGCTGGGTGGCGAGGAGCAGGACGTGCAGGTTGAGAGAAAGTGCAGCCTGACGGAGTTTAAGACCCTGCTGGCTGGGCGGGGCCTGGTGAAAGAGGGGCTGGCAGTGGATTTCATCGTAGAGGGGGTGCTCCTGAACTTGAGTCGCCCTGGCGCAACGATTGCTGATCTCAACTTGGCAGAGGACTGCGAGTCTAAGAGCCTAGCCCACCCCCCCCCCCCCCCCCCCCGCTAGAAGCCTCTGCTCAAACGAGCATGGAAGACATCAATCGTTCAATCCCTTGCAGGATTCCCATTTGGTGGTTATCACTCGGAGATCGCATGATTACGGGCAAATCCGCGAAGTAAAGTGCAAGGTGAAGTCCCACCATTGGCCGCAGGGCGTGCTGACCACGACAGAGGGCCATTTGTACGTCTGCCACTATGCCGGACAACTTCAGGCCGGGCTAGAGATGAAGACAATCACACTTTTTCACTACTGAGGTATTATAGACGGGCGCTTGGCGAACATGGGAACGGCGATTATGTTGTTCCTGCAACTTACGGTAACGATGATGGTCTTGAGCATGATGAAGGTGACAATGGTGTTGGTGATGATGGTGACGATGATGACGATG